ACATGTTCATTGAATGTAAACAGCTAAATAATTCATGGGACTTTCACAAGGAAACATTGCATATTATTTCAACTGACATTGTATTGAACATAAACATGTGCATGTTTTACACTTTTCCACAATTTCCATCCTCTCAAAAAATAATTCATCTTTAAGAATTAAGATTTTAAGATTAAGATTTCCTTCTGTTGCTCTTGAAAAGTAAGATCTATGAGTCATACATGAGTTTTTATTCCGAAGCAGGAAGGAAGATGGAAGCAGCGTATCTCTGGAGGATAAATTACTTAAAAGAACAAATACAAGAAAATCACCACCACATGTACGAGATGAAGATGTTGGTTGAAGAAATCCGTGAATATTGGGAGTCTTCGGCTACAAATGATGGTGGGTATTTTTTATTTACTCAGCTAGCTATTAGGTTCTTCTTTCCAAAGTTTAAACTTTTTAGCGCCCTCTGTTTTGCTGGTTCGAGAAAATTCGAGAAAATACGCTTTTTGCAATATATATGCCCTGGGGGTTTTAATCGAGAAGTACATTTTTAAATACCGAAATCAATCCTCAGAGAACTACATGCACACAAAGTTTCAACCTTTTACTTTTACCCTTTCGCTAATGAAAAAACATGTTTGCAAAAGCAGAACCACCCAAAAGCTATGCCAAGTGGGTATGCACCATGAAAGCTGAATACTCCTTCAACTTAATAATACCATGTCACTTATAAGTGTGGCAAGTTTAACCCTTTCTATTTCTGTCCAATTCGCCCCGACAAAATTCATTTAAAACATCGCCCCCGAAAAAATTCCCCTAGGGGATGTATAGAGACTTGACATTTTTCTTTAACTCCATGTCTCAATAGTCATACTCAATACACAAAAATCATTCCAGGAATAACCAAATTTGTTCCTGTATGGAAAGGGTTCTACAGATCAACAAGAAGAAGGAAAGATGGTGACATCAGCTGGAGGCTGGTTCATAATAACATTGTTTCCCCATTCCTAAAATCCCGGATAGATACAACCACATCACCAAGAAATCCCTATTGTGATGACGATGGAACTTTGATGCACATGTTCTTTGAAAGTAAACAGCTAAATAATTCATGGGGCTTTCACAAGGAAACATTGCATATTATTTCAACTGACATTGTATTGGGCATAAACATGTGCATGTTTCACACTTTTCCACAATTTCCATCCTCTCAAAGAATAATTCATCTTTAAGAATTAAGATTTTAAGATTAAGATTTCCTTCTGTTGCTCTTGAAAAGTAAGATCTATGAGTCATACATGAGTTTTTATTCCCAAGCAGGAAGGGAGAAGGAAGCAGAGTATCTCAGGAAGATAAATGACTTAAAAAAACAAATGCACGAAAATCACCATCAGATGTATGAGATGAAGATGTTTGTTGAAGAAATCCGTGAATATTGGGAGTCTTTGGCTACAAATGGTGGGAACCTGACATTCCATGTGGACTTGGAGACATGAGAATTCATTATATGATGTTTTTTTTGTATATGAATGTTTTATTCCATTGTTAAAATGAAGTCCATTTGAAAACCCAAAAATATTCCCCCAGGGTACGGATCAAAAAAGTAGATTTTTTCATGAACTCATCGTGTCGGTAGGCACGTCCATGCCACGTTTCAGCTCTACATGTGTCTCCGTTTTATTCAAGGAACGGCACATGGAAGGCAATAGAAGCCAAAAAAAGGCATGGGATGGCAGGGGAATTTTATCTGCACCTCACGATTACCGGTCAGATGTGCTATCACTACACCACCGAAACGGGGACGTATAGTAATAACTCTCGATGACATCCTCATCCGTCATGATATACATTGAAATAAAACTTCCCCCCCCCCCCAAAATGTGTACCCCCACTGCATGTACCTCCAAAGTCGGATATTTTCTGAACTCTGCACCCCAAAAGGTAAATGTGTACCAAGTTTCAGATTTCTAACCCTTCTAGAACATGGTTAGAATCAGCGTCAATCAGTCAATGAAAATATAACTTTTGCTCTACTCAGGTAGCCATAAGGTTCTTCTTTCCAAAGTTTAAACTTTCTAGCGCCCTCTGTTTTGCTGGTTCGAGAAAATTCAAGAAAATACGCCTTTTGCAACATATATGCCCTGGGGCGATTTAACAGAAAAGTACATTTTTTTAATACCGAAAACAATCCTCAGAGAAATACATGCCCACAAAGTTTCAACCATTTACGTTTACCCCTTTTGCTAATGAAAAAACATGTTTGCAAGAGCAGACCCACAAAAAAGCTATGCCAGGTGGGTATGCACCATGAAAGCTGAATACTAACTCAACTCAATAATACCATGTCACTTATAAATGTGGCAAGTTTAACCCTTTCTATTTCTGTCCAATTCGCCCGATAAAATTTGTTATTTAAAACATCGCCTCCGAAAAAATTCCCCTAGGGGATGTATAGAGACTTGACATTTTTCTTTAACTCCATGTCTCAATAGTCATACTCAATACTCAAAAATCATTCCAGGATTAGCCAAATTTGTTCCTGTATGGAAAGGGTTCTACAGATCAACAAGAAGAAGGAAAGATGGTGACATCAGCTGGAGGCTGGTTCATAATAACATTGTTTCCCCAATCCTAAAATCCCGGATAGATACAACCACATCACCAAGAAATCCCTATTGTGATGACGATGGAACTTTGATGCACATGTTCTTTGAATGTAAACAGCGAAATAATTCATGGGACTTTCACAAGGAAACATTGCATATTATTTCAACTGACATTGTATTGAACATAAACATGTGCATGTTTCACACTTTTCCACAACGTTCCATCCTCTCAAAAAATAATTCATCTTTAAGATTTAAGATATTAAGATTAAGATTTCCTTCTGGTGCTCTTGAAAAGTAAGATCTGTCAGTCATGCATGAGTTTTTATTCCCAAGCAGGAAGGAAGGAGGAAGCAGAGTATCTCAGGATGATAAATGACTTGGAAAAACAAATAGAAGAAAATCAAGACCGGTATTATGAATTGACGATGAATGTTACAATAATCGCTAAAGATTTGGAGTATTCGGCTACAAATGATGGTGGGTATTTTTTCATTACTCAGCTAGCTATTAGGTTCTTCTTTCCAAAGTTTAAACTTTCTAGCGCCCTCTGTTTTGCTGGTTCGAGAAAATTCAAGAAAATACGCCTTTTGCAACATATATGCCCTGGGGCGATTTAACAGAAAAGTACATTTTTTTAATACCGAAAACAATCCTCAGAGAAATACATGCCCACAAAGTTTCAACCATTTACGTTTACCCCTTTTGCTAATGAAAAAACATGTTTGCAAGAGCAGACCCACAAAAAAGCTATGCCAGGTGGGTATGCACCATGAAAGCTGAATACTAACTCAACTCAATAATACCATGTCACTTATAAATGTGGCAAGTTTAACCCTTTCTATTTCTGTCCAATTCGCCCGATAAAATTTGTTATTTAAAACATCGCCTCCGAAAAAATTCCCCTAGGGGATGTATAGAGACTTGACATTTTTCTTTAACTCCATGTCTCAATAGTCATACTCAATACTCAAAAATCATTCCAGGATTAGCCAAATTTGTTCCTGTATGGAAAGGGTTCTACAGATCAACAAGAAGAAGGAAAGATGGTGACATCAGCTGGAGGCTGGTTCATAATAACATTGTTTCCCCAATCCTAAAATCCCGGATAGATACAACCACATCACCAAGAAATCCCTATTGTGATGACGATGCAACTTTGATGCACATGTTCTTTGAATGTAAACAGCTAAATAATTCATGGGACTTTCACAAGGAAACATTGCATATTATTTCAACTGACAATGTATTGAACATAAACATTGGCATGTTTCGCACTTTTCCACAACGTTCCATCCTCTCAAAAAGTAATTTGTCTTTAAGATTTAAGATCTTAAGAATAAGATTTCCTTCTGGTGCTCTTAAAAAGTAAGATCTATGAGTCATACATGAGTTTTTATTCCCAAGCAGGAAAGAAGAAGGAAGCAGAGTATCTCAGGAAGATAAATGACTTAAAAAAACAAATACAAGAAAATCAAGACCTGTGGAATGAATTGAAGATAAAGGTTACAATAATCGCTAAAGATTTGGAGTCTTCGGCTACAAATGATGGTGGGTATTTTTTCTTTACTCAGCTAGCTATTAGGTTCTTCTTTCCAAAGTTTAAATTTTCTAGCGCCCCTTGTTTTGCTGGTTCGAGAAAATTCGAGAAATTACGCCTTCTGGAATGTATATCCCTTGGGGCGATTTAACGGAATAGTTCATTTTTTAATACCGAAAACAATCCTCAGAGAACTACAGGGTGTTTCATTTAAATTGTACATCTTTGAACGTTCATATCTCTGAGAGGACGCAACCGTTCTTTGCGAAATTTCACCACAATATAGAGCAACCGTTGCCAAATTATTAGACAGAGTTTCTTAATCGCAGCCTCATCTATTGAGTTGAAACACCGATTCTGACAAAACCTCTGGAACCAAGATCTTATCAACTTGATGAAATCTTTTAAAGCTCATCATTCGTTAGATAAT